AAAAAAAAAAAAAAAAAAAAAAAAATTGATTTGGTACATGTTTTACTGCTTGGCATTAAGAGAACTGAGTATATTACTTTGCTGCATATTTACAGTATCTCAAATTTATTTACTGTTTTAACATGTAATAATTATGTGGGAAAGGAAGCAGTCTTTGAAGATATAGCGTATATGATGTGTTGCCTTCTGCCGATGAACTGCTATGTCGACATATGCTGTCATTCCCAACATACGTATGCCCAACACACTGTGTAGGAACTACACAATTCATCTCAAGCAGCCGGACCAGGCATTGCATTCTGAGCAGGCTGCTGGCTTTCCAAAATCCTGACCAGAGAAGTTTCATATGCAGGACTAATGAGAGGATGAAAGTCTCTTTTTATCTCCCTAAATGTGCCTGCACTCAGCAGTAGTACAGAAATTAAGCACCTCAAATCTTTCATAAAGTGCATGCCCCGAATTGCAATCAGGGAAGCAAACTAAGAATAAAACTTCATTACAAAAAGCGCTGTTTGAAAGAGATCAGGGAAAAAGGCTTAAAGAGTGATTTTTTTAGGCTAGAGCAATTAAACACTGATTAAAGCTTAAATTCACTTACACAGCCTTCAAAAACAGTATTACCAGACACCCTAGATATAAAAATTAAAGCTTTATGACAAAAAACAAAATTCTGCTTGACCCCTTAAAAATGTCATTTTTTCACTTGCATTGTATCCTGGTTTAAGAAAATTGACATTTCACAAAGAAAATTTTCAAAACATTTTAGAAAATGGTAGCTTAGCACAATAGGTCAATATTAAAAAAAAAATAAATCAAATTTTTCAATAATGTCCTGTTTAAGAGGTTTATGATTTTCTTTGTGAAGAAAGCATATGAAAATCAAATTCAGGATTTTCCCAAGCATTTCTTTGACTTCATTACAATTTTTTGGCAGCTGTTCCATTTAGATCCTACTTTTATTCCTTTGTTCCTGCAAACTTTAAAATTTCTCTCTTGAAAAAACATGCACAGATTTTTATAACAAAATGTCAAATATAATGATTCCCTGGGAGCTGTCAGACATATGATGGGCCTTTATCATAAAGAAGTTAAGATTTTTAGAACCCTAAATTACACACAGACTGAGAAAAACCCACTGATTTCTCTAATCACCGTGGTGATAGAGTTTGCACATAAACTACTGCAAACATAACAACGTCACGGCTATTAACATCCTTATGAATGAAAGCCATATTGTGGATGAAAATGAGGCAATGAGTCATTTATCTCAGGCGACAGAGAATATTGACCGATATTTACTCTCATTTGCGATTGTATGGGGGCAGAGAACATGAAGAGTTCATCCAAGCTTTACTGAAACAACTATTTATACAGCCAATTTTTTATTCCCATTGACTTCAGTGGGCATCCAAGCAGACCTCAGATAGATAAACCAATGCACTACATTCACATGACTGTTTTATTTTTGACACCACAGGAAAGCACAATACAATCAGATGGGGTGTCAGAATCTTTACTCCCCCTCCCAAAAAGACCAACCAAAGGGCTATCTGTCAGCCAACATAAGGCAAAGAGATACTAAATAAACTGCATCCAAGTCAACATTTAAGTCTTCATAAGCACAAAAATAATGTTTAAAATGCTGAAAATATTTTCATGAGCAACTAGACCCAGAGCAGTGCAAGAGATCGGTATATATCCTAATACTAAACCAGATGAACACACTTTAGTAATCAATATTTTCTCTAAGAAATAACTTAAGTAAGCTCACGAGAACAGGAATCAGTCCTATTTTCTTCCAAAATGCCTCATGAAAGCGGTTTAAAAGTGAGGGATGTGTAATTCAAATCTTAGGGTACAAGGGGAAGAAAATACATAACTCTCCTTAAATTCAACAGTACAGATAAAGTCGACACATCTTCAGCCATGAAGAAAGTGGACTCAGATAAAAGCCTACCAAGCTTGAAGCGAAAATGACAAACAACAGAAACAAGACTGTTTTCAAACTAGCACTGTATGAGGAATATGACTCAATACCATGCTGTGTAGGCAAAGGGATTTTCTCTTATTAAGTTTAAAAAAACCAAAAAACCCACATGCCACAGAACTTGAGAAAACTGGCCTGTTTCTGTGACTGAGCTGTTGCACTTAGGATGCATTCACACCACGGCTGTAAGTAAAACTATTGAACAAGCATCATTTTAGAAACCCACATGGCAAACAGTTAAACTTAGCTACACTTAAGCACAACTAAGGACTACTCAAACACATTTTAAAGGCATTAATAAAAGTAGGCAGATTTAGTAGAATAGCACTGCTCCCCATAGTTAAGCAGCTAACAAGCATCAGTAATTTCCAAACTTTTCCATCCCTTCTTCAAAAAACTGGATCTCGTCAAAAAAAATGTTGTTAATTAGAGAATAAGCTATCTCCATTTGAACAGTAAACCGCAAGAGTTGGTCTAAACACATAAGTGGCTCCTTAACTTTCTTGCTCCCCTAAGTTTACAGATTTTACAAACACTTACTATAAAGCTTTAAAAGTATACTTAGGCCAATCTACTGTTCCAGAAACGATAGAGCCCAGCTCTGCCAAGATCCCCGAGGAATTTTTGCGCTGGCGCTGGGTTTACTTTACATCAGAAGCCAACTCTGAAATGTCTGACACTGAAAATGGAACCAACTGCCTTCAATCTTGAGCAAGAAGAGCTCAGCACTTCCCAGCAAATCACTCAGCACATGAAAATAAGTCAAGATGAACAAAAGAATCACTTCTTTCAAATTTATGAGTGCAAAATTAAAGTTTGTCCTCTGTAATCCCAAGACAAATGACTGGTTTTTAATACGTTGAGAAATTATTAAACTTATGATATTAAAAAAGCAATACATGCCACTCTCTCTCTTATAATAGCTGGTTTCTTTTGACAAAGCAGTGACAATGCCTAAAATAATCCTAACTTCATCATTGTATTAAAACCAGCCACATGATATTAACAGACAGAATGTCATCTAAAGCCCTAAACAATGTCCAGTTGTTCACTTACCAAACTGCTTTGGTAAAAGCCATTGTTCTGCACTGTATCTAATTAAAAAGCTGTAAATACTAGGATGATCAAAGCAGAAGGTTATGCCAACAAAGCCTTCTTCAGAATCATTGACTAATTCAGCACCCGCAGTGTTGACTTAAACTCCAGCTAGTTCAAACTATTTGTCCCTTTTTTTAAAGCAGCTTTTACTGGCTTAGTAATTTACTAGCAAAATAATATTGATTTACTAGCTGTCTGGTTTCATAAACTCTACATATTACATTTGTCTACACCATGGTACCAAACTGAAGTAAAATAAAGATCATCAACATCATGATTTAAACCAACAAAACCTTGGAAGCTCATTTAGGAATTAAATCAAGAGCTAATTGTAATTGGGCACAAAAGGGTATTATTGTACCTCAGGATTGCATTCATGGTTTGCTTCTTAACTTCAGGGTTTTGTGTTTTTATTTTCTTCAGTC